AATGTGCATTTTAATGCAGACACAAGTGCCAATGTCATGAATCCTTTTGTTGGATAGACTATACTATTCATTTATATAGACTTAACTATTCATAAACTTTAATATTATAAAGAGGTCTGCGATGTTCATTTTATTTTACTCAAGGAAATAGCTATTTTTTTCTGAAAAAATCTCATTATTAAACTTACAAGAAACAGTAATCATGCAAGAAAATACGTCCTTAAATTACTGTTGTTAGTTGGTAATGGTATACAGGGTGCTACAAATTCGGGGTACGAGCATGGGTATCTCCGTAACAGTAATAGATACGAACATAGCTAAATTGGAACAAAGTTGCGCTTTGGGATGTTCACCAAGATGCCGTCAAGACAGTTTAAAAAATTTCAAGGATCGCTGAGTTTTATGAAGAAAAAAAACGTTTTTTTTTGAAAATCAATTTTATTTTTTTCTGTCGTTACTTTTTACGAAATCAAAAAACTAATTACATATTCTCATAGCCACTTTATTAGGGCTATCTGATAGTATTTTTATATTTTCAAATTAGCTGATAATTTGTGAGATACAGGGGCCAACTTAATATTTTTAAATACGTTATGAGAATGTGCAATTAGTTTTTTGATTTTCTAAAAAGTAACGACAGGAAAAAAATAAAATTGATTTTCAAAAAAAACCGTTTTTTCCTAAATACTGAGCAGTCCTTGAAATTTTTAAAACCCTTTTGATGGCATCTTGCTGACAAGGTCCCACTTTGCCCCAATTTAACTATCTTCGTATCTATTGAGAGTTTCCAAGATACAAATGCTCGTACCTCGAATTTGTAGCACCCTGTATAAATCTATAAAATCTGTTTACTTATTATTATGATATTTTAATTATTTATGACAATTTAGATTTAATCTCCATAATTCCAAAATAAATTTTATAACATTTTAACATATACAGGGTTTTTGTACAGTATGTTCTCGGATTGTCTTTACAAGAGGAAATACTTTTTTATTATTGACATTTTGAGAAAAATGTACTCTCTTTTGCTTGTTCTAAAATAATTTTTCCCGTTTATACTTTTCCAGATTTTTATAACCGTTTTAGAGAAAATTAAAAAAAAACATGAAGATCTGGTTATGTCCTATAAATCAAAATTCATTTCTATGGTAATATGATTTCGATTTCATTTTTGATAGATTGTTAATGATAGAATTTTCTCCAAAAAAATCCTTTATGGGTATTTTGCCACTGCACTGCAAGAAAATTTACAAAATAAAATAGTTATTTTTTGTAAACACTTCTGCCACAAATTACCTATAACAGATGCGAAAGAAAGCGACTGCATCGAAAACCGCTCGGCAAACCCGACACGCCTATTGAGTGGTGTAAATACACCAGTCGTTTAGTCCGGAAACCTATGCTGTGTCGTATTCGCTTGCTGGAATGACATAGTGCGTGGTTATATGTTTCTTTTTAAAACGCGTGTAGGATTTTTGTTGAACTTTTTTGAACTGTTATTTCTAAGTTTGGTAATTTGTATATCTTATTTAAAATGGGATGCAAATGTGTTTATTTATAAGGAAAAAAAAGATATTTATAGTATAAAAAATTAATTTATTTAACAAAATTTAATTAAAAATGTTACAAAATAGTTACCTTTCTATTGGTTCTATCGGACTTTTTTCGACTATATAAATCTTTATTTGTAAACTTTAATACATCAAATATTTTCAATCTAATTAATCATTTAATGATGTAAATAAGAGGAAATTTCTCACATGGGTGGTCAAATTTTATAGTTTTCATTATATCAAACAGCCTCTGAGAAATGTTTTCAACTCAAAATGCCTTTAATTATGTTTGACTACATCATTAAAAAGGGTGTTCAAATACATCAATGTGATATTTGTCTAAAATTTGCAAAAAAATCCGAATCTCTGGATAACTCGAAATTATTTACCCATTTAAAAGCCTTTGATCATGAAAGTGGAAAAATTTGTTCATTTTATTTACAGGCTGGAAAAATTATTTAAATTAAATTTTGATGAGTTTTGCACTGAAGAAAACGTTCAGAGGCTGTTTGATATAATGAAAACTATAGAATTTGACCACCCATGTGAGAAATTTCCTCTTATTTACATCATTAAATTATTTATTAGATTGAAAATATTTTATTCATTAAAGTTTACAAAAAATAAAGATTTATATAGTTGAAAAAAGTCCGATAGAACCAATAGAAATGTAACTATTTTGTCACATCTTTAATTAAATTTTGTTAAATAAATTAATTTTTTATACTATAAATATCTTTTTTTTCCTAATCTCCTACGAGCTGATATAATATGACGAGCAATCTATTAAATTACTGCGAGATTATACAGAAAAGTCCACAGACTTCGAGACATAGGAAAATCAAGTCCATTTAGCGTGTGTCCAAATTTTGACAAGTTTTCAAAAATTACAGTTTTGTTTAGACTGACGTTTAATTTCACCTGACTTCTCGGTGAATGATTTCTTTTTATGGGGGTACATAAAATCTAAAATTTACGGCCATGAAGAAATTCAAAACTTGGAGCAGTTAAGGCAGAAAATATTTAATGCCTTTGACACTGTCACCCCTGATATGTTATCCAATGTGAGGAGGGGATTTTATGATCGTTTGGGTTATTGTTTAATGCAAGATGGAGGCACTTTTGAACAATTTTTGTAATTTTTTAAATTTCATTATCCTGTTTTTTTACCCTTTACCCATAACCTACCTTGGCGAACATGGGAAAACGAAGGTCCTTTTCAGGACCACTAATATTTTGATTGAGAAAATTGGTAACTTTTTTTGGATTAAAAACCAAAAGTTGTTAATACAATACCAATTTAAAAGTGTTTTAGTAGTTTTAATACACACTATGATATAAAATTTATTATTATTATAATGTACATTATTAATACTATCGTTCATTCGAAATGGCATTAAGGCCCAATTGCAACAATAATTTTTAATTTTTTCTTAAAGATAAGTAGAGCTTAGAATGAGCTGTATTTATATTTACTTTAATATTCACCTTAAATGAGGGAATTTGACTGATACAATTTTTGAATTTGAATTGTTTTTAATGATAGTAACAATTTTAGTTCAATTTTTAATAAAATTTATTTAATATTAATAGAAATCCAAGAGATTTGAAACCTCTTTTAGCGATTTATAACATTCTCAAATGAATTACAGGTGCCCTTATTTTCTATGAAAATCACACAGCTCTTTTCATAGTCGCTGCAATTGCTATAGCTATAAAAAACTAATTTTTTAAGGTGTGAAAATTGCGACACACGCTAAATGGACTTGATTTTTCGTATGTCTCGAAGTCTGTGTGTCTCGAAGTCTCAAACAAATAGTAACCCAAACTATACATTGATGCGGATTGTCTATGAACTCTTTCTGAAGGTCACAGAAACCTGAACGCGTAATTCGGTGTTCTTTCGCATCTGTTATAGGTAATTTGTGCTTCTGCGTTAAACCTAAACGGACGCTGCTTGCCAGAAGTTATGTTTACAGTAATACAAATTTGCCTAACAAAGAAAAAATGCTTAACGTTTCGGAAAGTTATCTCTTTCCGTCGTCGGAAGCAAAAAAATACAAAGAATAAAGAAAAGAACTATTTAAAATATTTAAATTGAACTATTCGAGAACACTTTACTTTTTAAAACAGATACTTCTACAAGAAACCGTTGACGTTCTGTTAAAATGACATTATATTAAGTTAAACTTCAAAATTAACAATTATTACCTTATAACAATTACTTAATAAGGTAAAACCAAAAAGCCCAAACTTTCTGTATGATTATCTTTAAATTTTACGTATATTATGTTTATTTATGTGATGTTCTTTAAAATTAAAGAAGCGTTTGCCATACATTATTAACATCTACAGATGCATGAGCAATATATTTATTTTTATTAGATTGAATTAAAAAAGCCTCTTTTATTTTTCTTTTAGAGGCTATCGCTTCTTTCATTATAATTTTGGCTTTATTAAAATTTATTCTGTGCCCTGTGTCCCATGAATGCTGACAAATCTTAGATTTGTGAAAATCTCCTTTTCTTAAATAATATTTATATCCTTTAATTCTAACATATAAGGGTCTAGGTGTTTCACCAATGTAAAATATATCGCATTCACATGGTATTTGGTATATTACATTTTTTGTTTGTTGTTCTGTATTGATTGGTGATAGAATTTTAATTAACGTCATATTTTTGGCTGTTTTAAAATGTTAAAGAAGCAGAAAATTTAGTTAGTAATGCTACGGAAAGGGTAACTCTAACAACAGCAAAAAATATGACGTTAATCAAAATTAATAATAACCATGTATGAAAGAATGAAATCGAATCGAAATTATATTACCATAGAAACGCCTCTTTATTTTTAGGACTTAAATTCAACCATATTTTCATGTTTTTTTTTTAAATTAACGGTATGAAAATTTGGAAAAATATAAATAGGAATAACCATTTTAGAACAAGCAAAATTTTTTTATGAAGAGTTTGTTTTTCTCAAAATGTGAATAATATTTTTTTTCTCTTGGAAAGACAATCCGGGGACATACTGTAGATTTTTGTAGCGGAATTTTAACACTTAGTCCCTGAATTCCTCGTTTTTTCTTCATTTGCCCTTTTTATTTTCAATTAATCTATGAACTGTGAAAGTATTATTGTGATCTGCTGATTCACTCTGTATAGTACTAAAATTGGTATACCATTTATATTCTGTAACAATGTAATATTGTAAGAAAAGGGAATGGTCTAAAGAAAATAGATTCTATTTTTACTTCTTCAATGAACTAAAAAACTCAGACTTCTATATCTAACCCAAGGTGAAGGAAAGAACTCCTATAGACTTAATTTTCTAACCTTTAATCCTATTTAGGGCGTGGGACCTTCAGTTTTTCTTTTCCTCTGGGAATAGCTATTTTCGCGTGGAAAAATCCACACGTTCCTAACCGGAATCTGTTTGTTTTAGGACGCAAGTGGAGACCCTTGGAGCCAGCAACAAAATGCCAACTTCCGGTATTGCCGAGGAGGCGGCCCTTTTGGGGTAAGAAAAGCGAAAGAAATGCTCTATTTCCGTTGTGTTTTATGTGTATATTTTGTTGGTTTGATTTTTATACCTTGAGGTCACACGTATAAGAAAAACAAATGTATTTTATTCCTCTTAAGCCTCATTCAGAACCTCGAAATTAGAGGAATAATTTAGTGGTTTCAACTATACTTCGTACTTAACACAATTTCTCTTGACGGATGATAATCAAAGGCCAAAATGCCATTAGAAGCAAATTTTGAAATACTAGTGAAAAAAGTTAGAAGTTTTTTGCCTTTTTCTACCAATTGAAAATTACTACCTACTACTAATTTTGACGATCTGAATAATTACTAGGGCAACGGCCTAGCAACGTTGAAACACCGGTTCCCATTAGAACACCGAAGTTAAGCGACGTAAGGCGATACTGGTGGATGGACGGGTGACCGGTTCGAAACTCTGTATCGTGCTGTTGTCCAAGGGAAAAGTGTAAAATCTATTGATACACACTGCTCATTCACGCCGGTTCGAGGCCGGATGAGATCGGATATCTCGTGAGTAAGAGTTGATTTAGACAGTTCCTAAGTCGGTAGGCCATTGACCATTAGATTCCGCTTAAACAAAGTAGGCCCCGTCCAGATTAGCCCTGGCAGCAAAAAGGAGACGTTAACTGAAATCTTTACTTTGAATAATTACTTTTAAATTACAGGTACAAACTTCTACGCTAATTAATTGAAACAACTAATTTGTTCTACTAATTTCGAGGTTCTTAATGAATCTTTAGAGTTAAGAAAAACGAAATGGTGCTAATTAGCATATTTATTTTAGTTTTTTATTAGGTTACTTCCGAGGGGTAAACCGCAGAGGAATTATGGTGTACACTATGAAGGAATTCTACAGGAATTCCAAGACATTACGAGGAATTCCAAGGAATTCCATAGGAATTACTAGGAATTCCAATTATTTCCGTAAGAATTCCAATGAATTCCAAGGAATTTCTTAGAAATTTAGAGGAATTCCACAGGAATTAAGAGGAATTACAAGCAACTTTATAAAAAATTAACGAACATTAGTAAACCATGAATACTATAATAGGTAGTACTAAATTTAAAGAAAAACGTTTTGCAGGCGATTTTTTACTATCCGTTTTTCGTTTTAGAATCGCTTCCAAAGTTTCCCAATATCAAATATCTACAGGTTAGATAGATATTCTTTTAATTTAATATTGTACCCTCGATTATATATCTAAAATATATTCCAATAGTACGGCCGAACCACCCCCGAGAGATCTACTTATAACGTTCCCTGATTTCGCCATTTTAAAGAAACCCTCATAAGATTTTTTTGTAAAATTAATACAACTTTGGGTGCACTTCATCAATGATACCATGCGTAATCTTATGGAATTTACTGGTGATCGTATTATGACGCAACTCAAGTTTTATTAATTTCCTTTCCTATAGATACGAGTATAACTAGGTACCTATCATTTTCAAAAAATCTCGAGAAAAATTAATTTTAATAAGTAAGTTCCGACATATTTCCAGTATTTTCACCTCATGATCCCCTATTAGTCCTAAAATTTAACTAAAAAAAGTGAATCTCGTAAGAGTACTTTTTATTGTTAGATCTAGTACTTATAGAGACATTAGACATTTATAAAAATCACCAGAAAATTCATAGCGGAACTGCGAAACCGAGGTGGCAACGCTGGTTCAGACTGAAAGAGTTACCGAGTTCGTACCAAGGAATTCCAAGGAAGACCTTGAATGATTGACCTTGACCTCGAAGACCAGGAATTCCAAGGAATTCCGAAGGAATTACGAGGAATTCTGAGGAATTATTTGAGTAAAAGGAATTACGGTGTACACTTTTCCCTCTGCGGTTTACCCCTCGGTTACTTCCTTTTTATTGACAATTGCTTGTTTTAAGAGTTTGATTTTTGTTATTTGAGGTCACACGTATAAAGAAAAGAAATATGTACAAAGTCGGTATTACACTGGTCTAGTAAATTAGTTATTTATTAAGTTATATTAAGTTTAGTAAACTTAATATAACAAATAATTAATTCAAGTGTGACCACACGTTGTGGATGATATTTTTGTCAATCTGTAAGCTAATCGTTTCGTTTTAAGAGGCCACACTATTATTTACAAAAAATCTGGGTATTCTTGGTAAATCTTAAGTACACTTATTTTTGTATTATTTTTTTTAATTTTCAGTTCAATAACATATCTTGATAATATTGCAACATAGGCATAATTTAGAGAAACGAAAAGACAGAAATAAACTCGGTGGTTCGCAAAATTTAAGCAAAAAATATATATTTTTTTCAATTTTGTAAATAAAATAACAAGACTATTTTAGACGTATTTGAAAAAGGGCGAAGAGAAAATATTGTTTCTTTTATCGAGATCTACCCGTTCTAAAAATATGTCCATTTATTTAAAACTCCTCTAGATTTTTGCTTTCTGGATTCGTCATAATATTTTTTGCGTTCTTTAAACACCATTATGTTATTGTTTACACCGAGTAATTTTTGAAATAATGGTTATTTGCCTATATTTTCCGAATGTTTAAAGATCCTTTCAAAATGTAAACTCGTAAATTTTATTGTTGCTTTTAGTTGGAAATAGGAAAATCACTCAATTGATAATATCAATTGAGGGATATTTTGAAAGGAAGTGAGTTCCAGAACATCATTGACACTATCTTAAAATACTTATAAAAATATTATATTTTAAAAACTACCCAAAGCAAGCCATAATGTCATACATTTTCTGACAAACGCACTAAACCAAAAATTAGCATTCAGAACCAAAAATTTGCATTCAGCCATAACAAACCTTTTAACATATCACTATTAATTGAATTACATACTTTCAACAGTATGTAACAAGACAATGTTTCAATCTGTAATCTGTAAATTACGCTAACATGGTTAGCGAAATATTTCCGCAGAATAAAGTGTTGTTGTTGACAAGTCTATATTTTTTACTGTTAAACTAGGCTCCAACTTATACCTATTATTTTCAATTATATTTTTTTAAAATTTGCATAATGTATTGTGATTGTTCAAAATACGTACGTAGCTCTTTATACTTTTATACCCTTTATAATTGGGTATACAGGGTGTCCCAGGTTGAGCGTGCATTAGAAGTTTCTAGAGAACTACAAAATCTAGCTCCGAGATTTCTTGCATATCATAGTTTCACAACGAGATCTATCGATCAAAAATATTTTTAATATGGCGGCACTTCCGGAAATACCGGAAGTTGACAACAACTTTCTTATTTTAAATGGGTGCCCCTATTTTTTATTACATACTTAAATTATCTGTAAAATTTTATGAATTTTGATATTAAACACTTTATATCTAACATTGATCGTTTTTGAGAAAAAAAAAATATTTAAAATTTTTGAACGAAAAAAACTGCCTGTCAAAAATATGTGTATAGCCTTAATGTCAAATTTAGTGATTACCATGGCCACTGTGCCATAAAGAGAAAACATGTTGCTATCTATTTCAAAAATTAAATTGTTCGAATGTCATATAATCATGGCCACAGCTGTCATCATTTTTTTTTCAAATGGAAACCCACTTTTTTTATTTCATTAGTGAAAATGTTTTTTAATTCGTTACTTTTTGATTATACATGTTCCTATACCTAAAATAAATGGTTTTTAAGTTATTTAAGATTTAGTTTTAAATGGTATATTTTTTTTGTTTTTTTTAACCAGTAGCCTAAGCCTTTAAACGTCACGCGACGTAAAACTATATCTGGCCATGTCATATTGCCACTAACTGTCACTAAAATACGAGATATATTTTTATAAATACACTTTATAAAGTTTTACCAACAGTATTTATAATACTATACGAAATTCAAATAATTAGTTTTTTGACAGAAGGAAATACATTGTCTGATGGTTTGACACTTAATGTCAAAGGAAGCTAGCTAAAATCAAGAAAAAATTATGCTTTAAAACTAAATCTTAGATAACTTAAAAACCATTTATTTTAGGTATAGGAACATGTATAATCAAAAAGTAACGAATTAAAAAACCTTTTCACTAGTGAAATAAAAAAAGTGGGTTTCCATTTAAAAAAAAATGATTTATGATAATTTTTTAATCGTTCAATTCTATGACAGCTACGGCCAATACTATATGACATTCGAACAATTTAATTTTTGAAATAGATAGCCAAATGTCTTCTCTTTATGTCCCAGTGGCTGTGGTAATCGCTAAATTTGACGTTTAGGCTATACAACTTTTTTTGACAGGCAGTTTTTTTCCTCCAAAAATATTAAATATTTTTTTTTCTCAAAAATTGTTAATGTTAGGTATAGAGTGTTTGAGATCAAAATTCACAAAATTTTACAGAGAATTTAAGTATGTAATAAAAAATGGGGGTACCCATTTAAAATAAGAAAGTTGCTGTCAACTTCCGGTATTTCCGGAAATGCCGCCATATTGAAAATATTTTTAATCGATAGATCTCGTTGTGAAACAAGGATGTGCAAAAAATCTCCGGTCTAGATATTGTGGTTCTCCAGAAACTTCTAATGCACGCTCAGACTGGGACACCCTGTATAACACTCTTTTAAATTAAAATACATTTTAGATATCATGACCTCCATTTATCAATGCTCATCCTCGCTACATTCATACCTTAATAACATGCTACTATTTAAGGGGATGATTCTTGAACCTATAGCCTAAAAGAAAAACATTCATATGAATGTATGTCCTAAACTTGTTAACTTTTGAGATACAGGGTTGGAAAATTTTTTAAAATGGCACTTTTTTTCATAATTAATTTGACGTTATTATAGATATCTTTTTGAAATTTGATTTATGTTTTCTATGCATCAAAGTGCCTTTTTTGATGTACAAACTATTTTATTTACTTCGACCTTACGGGCGTCCTTACGGGGTTTACATTGAATATTTTGGAAGAAAATATGGTACGCCACTGGTTTCTCTTATTTTAAGAGATCTTCATTCATTTCTAAACAATTTTCCTCTCTTGATTTTTTTCGTACGACCCGTAGTTTTTGCTTAAAAAAAATTAAAATCATTTTACTTCAGGATCATATCGCTAAAAATCTGATGCGATGATTGTTGTGAGGAAATCATTTTTGCTTCGGCTGGATGGAAATTAAGACATACAACAAAAATTTTGTTTGGTTTGGTTTGGAAAAAATTGGAAGGAATTTTGTTTGTACATCAAAAAATTCGTTTTTAGGCATAGAAGACAAAGACATTTTTTAGTAAATTTTATCACCCTGTATCTCAAAAGTTAATATATTTAAAACATACATTCATATGAAGTTTTTTTCTTGAAATAGATGAATTGAAGTTTTTTTCTTGAATCGCCCCATTAAATATTAGCATGTCATTAAGGAATACCCTGTATATCTAGACAAGAGGTTCCTAAACTTTTATTTCTCGTAGACCACTTTCCAAATTTTACTGGTTTTGGTGGACCCCCGCTGCTTAATTTTTACCATATTTACAAAATTCGTCAAAAAATGTGAAGTGTAGATCTGAAAGTAGAAATTTGCGTTGTGTCGTGGACCCCTAGGGGTCTACCTGTACTACTTTGGGAATCACTGAATCTAGACACTCTATCATAGTATGTGTCATAATAGACTTAAACATATCAGTACACTTACATAGAGTTCGAAAAAACATAGTTAGAGTTCTTTAGATAATAGACATTACAATATTCACAGTCCAATTATTAAAAATCTAATTTGAAAACAGTGTAATACCGGCTAAGATTCCAGAATATATGGACGATGTCTATAACCTTTAATTTTTAACTACTAATTAAATTTCTAGTACGATGCCTTCAGATTCCATGGACGACATCGAGTTGAAAAACATCAAATTACAATTTCCCAGCGCTAGATCCATGTCAAGAGAGGATTCCAACGCTCAAGAAGAGGTGGTAGAGACTGATCGTGGAAATATTGTCGTTGCAGTGCAAGGAAATAGGAATAAGCCAGCCATATTGACTTACCACGATTTGGGATTGAATTGTAGGTATTTTTTATGTATTAGAAGTTTGAATTAACTTTACTGTGCATTTTCGTTGATAAGACAAGTCATAAAAAATACAAATGGATCTGAAACTACGGGGCAAAGGTAAGGGAAACGCAGTTTTCTAAAAAATGGCCGATTTCATTCATAAATATTCAGGTGCTTGCGGTGTTTTATGAAAATATATCAGGAATTTCTAAAATGTTTTACAGTAAAATAACACTGTCTTATTTACAACCATATATGTAATACTGACATGGCTTTAAAAAAAATTGAAAGTGTCAAATTATCTACATTTCTTCCCTCTTCCATTTCCCTCTCTCGGTTTTTCTTATTTCTCGCCTCATTTAATTAAGCAAAATCTTCTTAAAATATCTTTATTAAATACTTATCTAACATCAACAAAAATAAACAAGATTAACAATAATAATTGAAGATTTTAATACATTTATTTGTTGAAAAGTTTTGCCTGGTAAAAATGCTAGACTTCTTCAACCTAACCTAATCTACATTCTGGCGTTTTAAAAAAGCGACGAGTTTGTGATATTATGATATGTCAGTCTTTTCCTTTAATTCTAGCATTGTCCGTATCATGCTGTACGTAGCCCAAAGAGTAGATGGATTTTTCTGCCTTGCCATGTCGTCGCTAAGATATGCCATCAAAACTGTCTCCGAAACAATATTCTTAGCATTTCTTTCGGCACACCATTTTTGGTAGACTTTCAATGCTATTTCATATCGCCCCTACTTTTATCTGGAAGTAAACTGGCTTCTGCTCTTTTTGCAGCTTCTGTAAGTTCTGGTGGAGTACCAATATTAAAGTAGTCTTCATTATCAGAACTTTCCGACAACATTCTGGCTTTCTATGTTATATAAATTCGAAAAATCGAACCAGAAATTCAAAACTGTCACTTAGTTGTTTGTTTTGCTGTTGAAGCATAGACAAAGAAATAAAAAGAGACTGGCAAATCCCATGGTAAAGAGTGGGACCGCGTTCCCGTAGCGCAACTCAGAATAACAATTTTGAAACCAATTAGCAGGACCATGGCAGGACGTACGTCTTTATTGCTATCTTTCTTTATTATGTGTGCTTTATATGAAAAAGAAAGAGATAGGTATAAAACGTATCGTAAGACATTATCGCACATTCTGGCTGGCGGAAAATTTAAATTAGACATTATTAGTAGTATTCTTTCATTCTGAAACTGAACATTTTCACTTAAACTGATTTATTCCCTATACCACGTAAAGGGAACGTGGTGTAGGGAATAAATCAGTGCAAGTGAAAATTTGCAGTTTCTTTCAGAACGAAAGAATACTACTATTATAAGGGAAATTATAAAAAAAGCAAAAATTTTACTGTTTTATAAACATATTTATTTATACATAAAAATAAATAAACTTTTTATAATATAATAACAAAAAATAACAGTGTTTATTCCACCCACCTACCAATTTTAAATGCAGAAGAACTGACTGTTGCAGGAAATGATCGGCCAATTTTTTTAAAGGGCATTAAAAATCTCATTTTCGAAAAAACTGCCTAATTGCAATAACAAAGTGAATATCCAAGCCAAGAAGACTTTACGAGAATCATGATCCTGAACATTTTCAAGTTCAGTTTTAATCCTAAAACAAAAGTAAAATAGGTATATTAATAAAGTTTCTGGTTACTATAAACCAGCTATAACTACCTACCCAAAAAATGAAAAAAATTAATTGTATTAATTTGTTATGTTAAGAGAGGTTCGAAATATCTTTGACACTACTACTTCTACTTTTTTCTTAATAAGATGATAAATATAACTACTTACTTTTATTTTATCGGGTGTCTTTAACATGCCTATCAGAGAAAGGGGGCACCAATACATATAAAAAATAGATGATACTGGCTCCTGCAGCAAATAAAATGACAAATAGTATAACCTAAAATTATAAGTAACAAAATATAAATACCTATATGGAACAAAGGAATTTGTTCCCTATCCATATTCGTAAGTCAATAAAATGGAGAGTTTAGAAAAAAAAGGTAAATCACGAAAATAAAAATTAACAAACATGACGAATTGTCATGATGTTGTCATCTTGGTTGTCATGATGACGAAAACGAAAGGCGATTGTTCTAATTTCTATTTAGAAAGTACGTTTTATATGGCTGCTTCTTTCTCTCTTGTTATATTAGAATGAGATAGTGGACCCAATAGACGCAATGCGCAGATCAACATAATTAGAACGAAATTTTGCGTTCTGAGTTGCGCTAAGGGAACGTTGTCCCTCTCTTTGCCATTTAATTTGCCAGGCTCTTTTTATTTGTTTGTCTATGTGTTGAAGGTTTGCGCTATAACAACCATTGGTACCGGTAACTATAGAATATGACTATAGATATGGAAATGCCAAAACAGAAAACGAAAAATTTTCGCATATTTATTTTTTTTTTCATATAAAATACTGTCCCTATTTTTTAATTAATGATGTGGTTGTAAATAAAATAGTATACAAACCTCGGAGGAAAGTTTTCAATTATTGTCTCGAGATTTAGTTAATCTCTCGACAGTAATGAAACACTTCCCTCCTCGGTATGTAATATACTATTACTTTACTATTTATCTACATTTTTTGGGGGGGATTTCCTAAATATAGTAATACATTTTAGAAAGCGTGTACTTTTAATACACAACACAAGTTGTAAGTATAAAATACAATATAATAACACTAATCAATATTTCTACACTTTCTGGGAAGAGGTAAACCAAACCAAACCAAACCAAACTGGCCAATAGGAAAACGTTTTCAGCATGGCATGGCTAGGCCTTTTAGTGCCGTAACCATGATAATAAAAGAAATTAAAAAAATATACCGTAGGAAAATTTACGGTGAACGTTACGGTGCAGTTCTGAAAAGTTTTCTAAAAAATATACAGGGAAATTTAAAAGAAAAATAAAAATATTTGCACTTATTTAAGGCTCACCCTGTATATCTTACCAAAGGAATGTATAAAATAAACAAAACGGTGATATACGTAGTACAATAAACTTTAGAGTCATAAAGAATTGGGCGACGCTATCCTTACACTAATAATTTACCCCAGCTTTTACTGGCTCTTGCCAGAATATATTCTTAGTGTTCCGAAGTCCGTTTTTATTAAATAAATTAAGTTAATTTTAGTAATATGGTATATTTTTTCAAGTTGATTTAAGCGTCATTAACAAATAATATATTTTTGGAACATGGAAATGTTCAAAAGCAGGTTGAATAATCTCATAAAACATATATTTTTGTTTTTTTTTATGTAAACATAATCGGTCTGTATTTGTTTTATTATCTTTGCTGTTCCAAGTGATATACGATGTTATAATAGAGGATTATTGATTCTGAACGCCTACGATTAAATGGAATTAGTCATATTTTTGCAGCTTTGTTGTAAACAGCAACTTGATAGACATTTGATATACATTTCTAGCGCTAGATCCACACATGATAGACATTTCTCTTTATGTTAAGTATACACTAACTAATCTAATTAAACAATATCTTAAGAATTGATGAAGAATAATAGAAGAGATGCAATAATCAGAGGCATTTTAACAAATTTTGCCAGTCAAACAAGGCAGCTCTAATAGGTGTTCTTGCTCCAAACTGAAAGCAAGGTAGCTCCAATAACGTGCCCATATACCGTCCGTGCTGCCAAGTCTTGCTATTGGTTCTATCAGTCTCAAATTATTATGAAAGACGATTTGATGTGAAAAATTAATCATATTATTTAAACATCTTTTATTGTGATTTGGGTTTACATTAAATATTCTTTTGATACCACGTTAAAATCGAAATCCATTTCTTTTCAGACCTGTCTAATTTCCAAGCTTTCTTTAACTACATCGATATGAGAGCCCTGGTGGAAAACTTTTGCGTGTACCATGTCACTGCTCCAGGCCAAGAAGAAGGTGCTGGGATATTTCCAGAAGAGTAATTTATACTTAATTTAAATTATTTTTTTTTTAATTATAAATTATTTTTTTTAGTTATGTTTATCCTTCGATGGACGAGCTGGCTGAACAAATTAGCCAAGTGACCAGACATTTTAATTTGAAGCAGTTTATTGGATTTGGAGTGGGAGCTGGTGCGAATATTTTGTGCAGATATACGCTAAATCATCCCGAAATGGTAAGTAAAAGAGACTGATAAAACTTACATATAATATTTTTACTGTTTCGAATGTAGATGTAATAATTATTGAAACGAAAAGTTCATTTCAGATTTTTTTTTGAAAAACTTATCCGTGAGTTGTCCGTCCAGTTACCCCAAGCCTTTTATGAAACTATTACACATTTATGTATGTAAAATCTCTCTAACGAGTCAGGGAAGATTTCGATAGACGTCTTCCAAATATTGACAGAAATGACACTTTACTTATAAATTAATTAATACAGCAGATAACAGCTGTCGCTGTTTAAGCGTTTTGTTGTTGGTTAGACTTTACACAATATACTAGAATCTGTCGAACACACATATACCTATAAAAGAATATACTGCAGCCTTCCTATTGAAGCAATGAGAGGATTTATGTCCCAGTATTGAAGGAAAGAAAATCAAGTTTGTATTGTTTGGGAACATATATGTGCGTCCTTGTTTAGGAGAAGAAAGTAATATGCTTGCGCCGAATTTCTATTTTTCTATTGGTCGAATGGGGTTGAGGTCGATTATCGGTTGATTTTTGCTTTATTCAGGGATATGGATGTGGTTATCCCCTCTATATCTCTGGTTATATTTGAACGTATTTAACCTCAATTTCAAACATATAATTTGGAATGGTCCAATCAAACTGCTCGCATCATTTTCAATAGAGGAATAGAACTTTAGAATATAAAAGCATTTTCCACATATCTATCCTTCAATAGAGAACAACGGCCTACGGTCGAGTCGGCCGCTGCTGGCACGTATAGACGTAAAGAATCTTTTACGTATATAAAAAATAAAAAATATAAGAAATGCGCATGCGTACGTAAACGTTTACGTGTTTTTAGTGTGTGCCGTTGTTCTCTATTATTGGAACAAAGATGTATGCGGTACCCACAGTATATTCTTTTATATATGCATGGTTTAACAAGTCAGGTAAAATTTTGTCAGACGACATCCAAAAAAGAGAGTATATACAATTTACTTATGAATTAAAATAACAGCAAACAATATAGTAAGGAAAATTCAAATTGTGTATAGTATTTTATTAAGAGATATTAGCAAAAGAGATGTGACAAAATGACAGAAAATACAATTTACCTGTGAACTAAAATTATAGACACTTCCTCACTGTAGTGTTCTTTCGTTAGATAGTTAATCATACCTGTCTGGTCTGGGTTGTTCTTACTATGTTGGCTTCAAACCTATATTTTTTCTAGTAGGACTTCTTTTAGTATCGTCTAGAAAATATTAAGACCATTTTTCAGACCTTTTCTTAGTGGATAGTTCCAAAGAAGTTGTCTTTAAGATGCCCTAAGCTTCTTCTGTTGATTTTTTTTCTTGTCTTTTTTGGATATCGTTTTGGCTTGTCCTAGGATGATTTTTTAAACCTATGATGATTTTTTCAAGCAATACTTTATTTTATTCTTTCTCGAATTATATATTTTGTATTTTACCTAAAACGGTTCCTTGGTAGGGCCCTTCTCTGCGGCTGCAAGTGTCTATCGTGGCTCAGTTCTACAAACTTGAAAATTCACCCTCAAGGCTTTTTATATAGGTGGTTATATCCGACGGCGATATGTTACCAAGGTCTGATGAGTTTCCAAGTTCTGCGTTTGGATGTATCTGCCAAAATTATAGAATTCTTTCTGTAATTATATCTTATAGGTTCTTGAGATTGAACTTTCTTTTGCTTAGGGATCAGAAGTAAAGTAAGGTAAAGATTTTAGTTAACGTCTCCTTTTTGCTGCCAGGACTAATCTGGACGGGGCCTACTTTGTTTGAGCCTCGAACCTTCGTGAATGAGTAGTGTGTATCAATAGATTTTACACTTTTGCCTTTTTTTGGACAACAGCACGATACAGAGTTTCGAACCGGTCTCCCGTCCATCCACTAGTATCGCCTTACGTCGCTTAACTTCGGTGTTCTAATGGGAACCGGTGTTTCAACGTAGCTGGGCCGTTGCCCTTAGGTACTAGATTTTTTATTGTTTTTTAGAGTTTTATATCAAACATATGAGGTGAAATAAACATTGTTAAAAAAATGTTTTAGGTTTCCGCGCTTTGCTTGATCAATTGCGTCAGCACTCAACCAGGTTGGATCGAATGGGGCTACCAGAAACTGAACACCAGACACCTCAGATCTAAAGGCATGACCCAGGGAGTACTGGACTACCTCATGTGGCACCACTTCGGAAGGGTAATTACCTATTTTCAGTTTTACAGAATGTCTTATAATATCCTGTCGTTTTTTTTTATCAAACCTAGAATACGGAGGAACGTAATCACGACCTGGTGCAAGTATACAAATCCTACTTCGAGCGGAACGTGAATCCCACCAATCTCGCCCTGTTCATCGACAGTTACGTGAAGAGGAACGATTTGAACATTCACAGGGATCCGGACCCGAACAAACGGAACAGCTCGACGCTGAAAGTGCCCGTGATCAATATCACGGCCGCTTACAGTCCCCATGCCGACGATACCGTTACTTTCAACGGACGTCTGGACCCCACAAACTCATCGTGGATGAAGGTGAGTTTTAGGTTATTTCTAAGTAAGTTTTGGCAACGTGGTATTCTGGTATTTTAACTAATAGTGGGTCTCGCGATGGAAATTCTCCAGTGTCTCGCAAAGATATCAGTTACAGTTGTCAGATTTGAGCAGGATTTATAAACTCAGGAGTTGACGTTCAGTTGAGGTTCCATTGCAGTTCGATATCCGCGGCAGTTGAGGTTTAACATTTTTCCATTTATAAACTGTCAGTTTCGGTCGTAGGTTAGATTTGGAATTGTGAAAATTTCGAACTTTTTTCTTTCGATTTAAAAATATTGTTGATATTTTTCAAAGTTCAAACCAAGGATATATAGAAGAAGGATATTCAACTCCCTATAGCGGGCTATGTAGGAAAATATGCCGTATTTTGTCGAGGAAGACGATTTCGTCACGACCAATGAGCGTCGAGTATTTGAAATTGAAAACATATAAATTGACGGTAACCTATGTTTTTTGACTCATTTCACTGACAGATGTGATGAGATTATTATTGTAATTTATAGATCCAAACGTTTTTGAAAAAAAATAATGTATTTTAAAGTTATTTCCTAGAGTTTGGTTTGGCCTTCTATATTTTGGTATTTGTCTACTAATAAATAATATCTTATTTTGTATTTCGATGTATGGAAATCCGCAAGTTTTGTATCTGAAGCCGCAAAGAAATTTCGCTCTATAGTGAGAAAAATGTTATTATATCTTTTTAGACGTGTAGAATTACAAAATTTCTTATTTCAGATGTTCTAAATGTGAGTGCATGTCAAAAATTTAAATATATACTTGAAATATTATTTCAAGTTATATGCTTTGACATTTTTTGGAAGTAAACAAATATTGAAGAAAGTGTTGTGCCTTCACAGAATTTAAATTGGCATTAGGAATAGATTTCCTTGATTTAGTAATAATATTGCTCATAGAAATTGATAATGTGAAGAATAACAATACAGGAACATAGAATAACAAGAAAGAAATTCTAGCAGCAAGTTAGGTTATGAGATAAATTTTATTTATATAGTTTGTTTAAAGAGTTTAGTTTGAAAAAGTTAAAACAATTATTTTTGTCCAGGTCATATTTTGATAACTGTTGTTAATTGATAACATATTACAGGGACACAAAGTAAAAAAGACAAAACATTTAGACCCTTTGAAAGAGAAATGTTTGCAATGGATATTAATAAATTCTAGCCAATTTGTATGATGTACAATGCAGGCAATATTTCTGCCTCCTAACGCACTATTCGCGTAAAAGAAGATGTGGGTATTGTAGTTATACTACCTAGGTAGTTAATGATACATGGAATATATTTCTATATTATTGCAATAATGATGTCTTTATGTTGTATTTTTTTTAGAAAAAGATTTATTATTAGTTGGCTAGTGTGTTAGTAGGATAGCCATTGGTAGTTATAAAGTATGAAGTCGTCAGGTATTAATAATGGAATTGATCAAAGCTTATATATTTATTGTGATATTTATATTGTGAATTTAAGTAGTTAGAGTTTTTAGTTTGTTTAATAAACGAATTAATGTGCTTATTGTGTATCTAATTAAAAGAACAATGAAAAGTTGAATACCATAGGGGTACGTATGTTATACAAAGAATTTGCATCAACATTTTTTTGGTTATATACTTGTACTGATATTTGTTTCTTGAACTAAAGAATTATACAGTACCTACTACACAATATAATAATCTGCAGCTACATAGGTAGGTAGCTGTTGGTAATTAAATTTTTTATCTAATATAATATCTAACATCAGAAATATTGTTAATTATCAACTATAAACAACTAAGAACTAGAATTATCAACTATAAACACAATATAATATACTGTATCTTAAGCAATATGTAATTATTTAACAATTATTTTTTTTGGGAAATAAAAACTGGTACTAAATTCTTTTTGACTATTTAATTTCTAAGTCACAAATAATGGTGGACAAATAGCAAGAAAATTATACAAGTAAAACATAATTTTAACTTATTTCTCTAATGGAATTTTGGTATTGATCTACTTAGTAGGATATGCAGTTTATCATATTTTTGAATATTTATATTCAATATTGTTCAGGAACAGCCCAATTACTCTGAAAAAAAAATATATGGTCAAATTCTTTGAAAAGAAACTTTTAAAATCAGTAATGATAAAAAAATATATAATTGTTGTATAGCAGAACCAGGGGACACAGAATTAGGGGAATTAACAATAGATTATTAAAAACTGCCTTCTCTTAAAAAAGTAGTATTATATGCACTTAGAAAGACTATAAAGGATATAAGTACGCATAGAAAGAAAGTAAGTATCTATACTACTGATATATATATAACTATATATGAATACGATACCTACAGTATACAATATTACTAGTATAAAAATAACAGCAGAGTCGGCACACTTTAAAATAAAAAAGCAGCATAATATTCAGGTATGTATCTAAGTAAAATTTTCTCAAAAATATTAGAATATGAAATAAATTGATAAAAAAAAATAATCAATATTGGCACTTGAAATTTTAATTTCTTATGTCCTTAAATTATTTATATCGTGTTATACATAATACTTACATAAATATTCAATTTAAAAATAGATCAGCACTTGAACGAGTGAATATAAAATAGTATATTATCAATTTCTATGAGCAATATCATTACTAAATCAAGGAAATCTATTCCTAATGCCAATTTAAATTCTGTGAAGGCACAACACTTTCTTCAATATTTGTTTACTTCCAAACAATGTCAAAGCATGTAACTTGAAATAATATTTCAAGTATATATTTTAATTTTTGACATTAAGCACTCACATTTAGAACATCTGAAATAAGAAATTTTGTAATTCTACACGTCTAAAAAGATATAATAACATTTTTCTCACTACAGAGCGAAATTTCTTTGCGGCTTCAGATACAAAACTTGCGAATTTCCATACATCGAAATACAAAATAAGATATTATTTATTAGTAGACAAATACCAGAATATAGAAGGCCAAACCAAACCTCTAGGAAATAACTTTAAAATAAATTATTTATTCAAAAAACGTTTGGGTTTTGGATCTATAAATTACAATAACAATCTCATCACATTTGTCAGTGAAATGAGTCAAAAAACATAGGTTACCGTCAATTTATATGTTTTCAATTTCAAATACTCGACGCCCATTGGTCGTGACGAAATCGTCTTCCTCGACAAAATACGGCACGTTTTTTTTTGGCCAGTCGAATATCCTTATTCTATATATCCTTGGTTCAAACATAATAATCCAGCATTGCGCAAAATATAAACATTACAAAAACAGAAATAATGAAACAACAATAAGGATGATTTTCCAGTGCATCGCTTTTCTGTGCTTCACGTGATCGACAGGTCCTTAGTATTGGCTGCAGTTCCAACTGCCGACTGAGTGCTGCTAGAAATTTTCGAGCGAATTCCTTCAACGCAACGGAGTCTTAAAAAACCTTCATATTCCTTCAACTTCACAAAAATTCTAGATCTTGTGAAAAATTACCAAATTTCCTGTATTTTACCTATTTTATAATTAGGAGAAAATTTTTAAAAACTTATTTCTGGTAATTTTTGGATACCGATGTTTTTTTTATATAAACTTCTTATTAAAAAAATAACACGATCAAAAATGCTATGATATATACTCCATAACAGTATTAAAAAGTATATTTCAAAAAATGCATTGCTTACAGTGATTGCTTCAACAGAGAATAATTAATCGTACAAGACGCCATAATCAGGGGACTTATTAGATGTATGTTTTCCGTTTGCCTATTTCTTTCTTCTCAACATCAATTTCAAATTGCGGTTCTTTTACAGCAATACATCATTGTGCAAAACTGCCAGAAGTCCTCATATCCTTCAGCCCTTCAATCGACGAAATTTCACTATAAATTCCTTCATATTGAAGGAAATCCTTCAATTCTGGCAACACTGTGCCGACTTAAATTTTGACCATATCTGAACTCCCCTGAACATAAAACGAACTACCAACTGTTCGACCAACCGACTTTATAAATGCGCACATTCATTTCATAGTGTTGAACATTTTGAACGTCAACTGAACCTCAGCTGCCGAGTTTATAAATCCAGCTATGGAATTGCCCAACATTTCGAACGTTTTTCTTTGGATTTAAAAATACTTTTTGACATTTTTATAAGTTCAGACATATGGCGCTTACTCATTGGCCCAACTTAAACAATGTCTATCTCGAAACTAAGTGAGCATAAAACGAATTGTCAACTTTTGGATGAACTGTCTTTATAATGCCTAATAATAATATACTAATCTATCTATATAATAATTTTTTTATACAGGGTTTTTCAAAAAACATATTAGCTACAGGGTGTTAAAATCTTAATATTTTTTCGATTTATTATAATTTTCTTCCAAATACTTTTAGCGATTTCAATGAAATTTTGAGGGTAAAAGTTACTACAAATGCGACATATTTTAAAGCTAAAAAAGTGTCGACATATTCACCAGGGACGTGCATATGGGTTATCACTGGAATATTTTTCTAAAAAAAGCATGTACGCCACTGACTTTTTTTTCTCTTGTTAGCGAAATAGTGTAAGCAATTTAATGCCGATTAAAAGTTGTCTCGATATTTTGTCGATTTCAGCCTCCTTGATGAGATAAACGCAATTTTATTAATTTGCCTTGATCCAAGTCTAATAAAGCCTTTAAAAAATTTTAATATCATTAACTTGCGAAAGTTTTAAATAGATACTCATCGATTTTTTACCAAAAAATATAACAAAAAGTTCCTATAAACTAGTAATGGGCAAAACTGTTATTTTTAGATAACAGTTGAAACTGTTATAGTTATTTATAAAAAACAGCTTAAAATAACAGCTTAAAAATAACAGGTTTCTTTATTTTACTGCTAAATATCTGAAAGTATGAGGCGGTCACCGCCAGGCGTATTAACGCAGTTGCAAGTTGCAACAATGACGTGCTCGGTGGTAATATTTCCAGGGTGTCAAAACATTTCTAAATATCGATTGTTACCTAAAATACCTCTCTAAAAACGGTGGTTGTTTACAAATAAGCGCTGTTGTTTACAAATTGCGATATAAAAAAAGCCAAAATTCCGCCACCCGTCTATACCTAAACATTCCGATCTACCTACGCCCTGCCGCTCGATCCGCGTAGATCCTGAATTGAGTAGCAGTGTACAGGGTGCATCTTACTCGACGGGCGAGAAGCTCTTAGTTATGATTTTACCATTTGCGGTCAAAAAATAACAATATAAGAAAATGTGTAGTATATTCTTCATAAGTAAACCAACTACACACTAGAGTTCGAATTTATTTTACACTTAAACTAGCGTGTACCCGCGACTTCGTTCGTGTCGAATTAATAATTTCTAATGGTGATGATAAAGCAAAACAAGAATTTCCATTAACATACAGACTGGATAAAATTTTCTCACGTGTGCCAAAAATAAGCTTTAAACGTCAAGCAGTTTAAACAGAATCGTGGTTAATCAATTACTCAGCTTTTTGGAACACCCTGTATGCTTTTTGAAAAAATGTCAACATATGTAAAAAAACAAAATAAATTATGCGTGTCCAGGCGTTTTCCCGAAAGACTAACCGTTTTTTAAATAACAAATATTGTAATATTTGAGGGCGTTTTTCACCCTGTTGGAATTTGAGATTCGAGAAACCCCTCCTTATCGAACCTCAACCCCAGTCAATCCGTTTGCCAAAAATCAGCTTTAATTTAAACGTCAAGCAGTTTAAGCAGAATAGTGATTACTCAATGGTCATATTTTATGAAACACCCTGTATATATTTTTTAAAATCTGAATATATGTAAAACAACATAATAAAATATACGTGTTTTAAGAGTTTTTCCGAAAAACTCACCGGTTTTAAATAAAAAATATTCTAATATTTGAGGGTAGTTTCACCCCTTAGAATTCGAGTTTCGAAAAATCCCTTCTTATCGAACCTCTACACCCTAAAGTCAATCCGTTTTCCAAAAATCAGCTTTTTACGTCAAGGGCTTTAAGCAGGATCGTGATTAATCAATCACCAGATTTTTCAAAACACCCTGTATACATTTTTAAAAAATCTTAAAATATTATTCTGAAAATTTTTCAGAATAAATAAATACCTAAATATTGAAACTTAATATTAAGTACTGAAACATACAGCGCCATAATATCTCGACCTCCGCCCGTTATGCTCGTAACAGGTTGAAAAACAATGTACTATCTAAAATAACTGATGCGTTATTCTCCAAACTGTTTCGAACCTCCATCGACAATCGACCGATGCAGCAGCGTTCCTTTCCCACTCCGATTATCTCGACCACCGCCCTGTTATGCTCATAACAGGTTGAAAAACAACGTATCTAAAATGACTGCTTCTCCAACCCGTTGCGAGCCTCCATCGACAATCGACCGATGCAGCAGCTTTCCTTTCCCACTCCTGTTATCTCGATCGCCAGGCGTTATGCCCGCAATTGTTTCAAAAAACCTGCTTCTTTTATATCCTATTATTTTTAAGCGGTATCGACCGAAGCAGCTACGTTCGCCGAAGCGCATTCCCCACTCCGTTGTCCGTTGTCTCGCCGCCTGTATCGATGGTTGACGAAATAACATGTTTTCCATCCATACTAGTTGTTTTTTGGAATTGCTTCGAGCAGCATAGAATTTCGTGACGGTGCAGAGCGCCGACTTCGTTTAGAGCGGCCGATCTCTACCTGTCGTTATTTTATATCTGTTATTTTTTAGAAGTAGTAACGGTTGCGTTATGTTATTTATAAATAATTGTTATAAAATAACAGATAGTTAAATAACAACCCATCACTACTATAAACATGGGTATGGAAATGCATAGTTTTAGAGTTACAGGATGTTAAAATTTTTAAAATTAGTTTTTTTGTAATTATCTTAAATACCATAATTTTTCTATTTGAAATGGCTGTAGGTTGGATTAATAGTAGTAAAAACTAATAAATAATTAATAAATTAGATAAAATATATAATTTATTAATTTTATTTCTATTTTAATTTTATTAATTATGATTAATAAAATTGCGTTTATCTCATCAAGGAGGCCGAATTTGACAAAATATCAAGAGATAACTTTTAATTGGCATTAAACGGCATTCACAATTTTGATGTCAAAAGAGAAAAGTCAGTGGCGTACATGTTTCTTTTTGAAAAATATTCCAGTGATAACCCATATGTACGTCCCTGATGAATGTATCGACACTGTTTTAGCATTAAAATATGAGGCTCTTATAGTAACATTTACCCTCAATATTTAAAAAAGTACTTATAATAAATCGAAATCGGTAAATTATAATAAATCGAAAAAATATTAAGACTTTAACACCCTGTAGCTACGAAACAAAGCAGAATCGGATCTATGTTGATATGAAAAATAAATATTATTTTTACGTGAGGAATCTCCCCACGAGAGATGGCAGATGTTTTTTGAAACACCCTGTATATTTATTAATTTTATTGACAAGACATCGATCAAAATCGTGTCAAAATTTTCTTTTAGTAATTGTCATTGTCATTATTTGATTTTGGGGTTAATTTTATTGTCAGACATTGATCAAAGTGAAAATTCAAAATCTCGATTATCGATTGTTGCTGTCAAATTTACGTTCCTATATTATTGATTGAGCGAAACTTTGCGCTCAATCAATGATATAGGAACGTAGTTAAAATTTTCTATACAATATGAACTGATCTTAGACACACCCTAAAACTCATATTTGACAAATAATGATGACGTAACGTTGAACGATGGCCGAACAGTCTTTATGGTATTATTTTTGCTGTTGATTTTATAATACCTAGTTAGTTAAAAAGCCTAAAGGCGGGCGGCCACTGCGAGCGTAACTAAACTAAGCCAAGCGAAGATAAGATTTGTAAAAATCAGCTCCCATACTTTTAAATGAATCAGCGGCCACTTGAGCGAAACTAAACGAAAATATTTGAACGAAGATTCAAATCGTAATTTAGTTTCGCTCGTTTTAGTTTGTGACAGGTTCCAGCGATTTTTCGCAGCGATTAGTATGATAGCTCAGACACAAACGCAGCTAACTTAGCTGACTACTAAGCAAAAATCGTTCCCAGTGGCCGATGAAACTTATTTTCGTTTAGTTACCGTTTCCTTCTATATTCTTAGCTTAGTTTAGTTTCGCTTGCAGTGGCCGCCTGCCTTAATAACTTGGAGACTGCTGAACCTTCCTTCTTTATTTCCCATCTCGTTTTGATTAATCTCACGTTATTATTGCAAACGAATTTAAATATCGTCAAAAGTAAATCATATTATACCTTTTTTTATTTGTTATATTTAATATTTTTAAATTTGTCTCTAGATATCGGACTGCGGAATGGTTCTAGAAGAACAGCCCGGCAAAGTGAGCGAAGCCTTCAGACTGTTCTTGCAAGGCGAAGGTTATGGTAAGTAAGCTTGGTCGAAAGTCCACAGAAGAATTTTTTTGTACTTGCTCCATTGGGGATGAAAAAACACGCGACAATAATATCATTTCGAGCGATTTTTACTCCCGACTGGATTCACCTTTTTTAAAGCTTATCTCTCATAAGGTGTTATTGTTAAGGCTAAAATTAAGTGGTAGCTCAAATAATGTTAAAACCGGTTTTTTGACTCATGAGTGTTATTTCGGTGATATTTCTATAAATAACTTATATTAGTTTTGGTTCAAAAATAAACATGTTTTTTTTTATTTTTATTCAAACCATGTGCTTTTTATGGTTTAAGACAGTTTTTAAATATGACTTAGCCCAAAGTTTGCATGAACGTTTCCAATGAGCAAAATTTATAGAGTAAACTTTGTTCTAAGAACATATTTAAAAGCTATTCTCTAAAGTCTGTAGGAAAGACCTAGTGTCTCTAGGATCGATCAATTTTATAAGACTTACAGGAGGTTGTTACGAAGTTCTATCAGGAACTATTTTGCATCGGTTTTACAGCATTTTGGTTCTATAAGCAAGGTTACTCTAAAATTATGTTACTTTACACTCTTATAAGGCAACATTAGCACTTATAGATGCCCGATTATTAAGTTTTATGAACATTCTTACAATAAATGTAAAAAATCATTCAGTGTCTGAAAGCAAAACTGTCTCATGTGATAAACAAATCAGTGTTCTAAATACCACTATAAAACAATAATGGAATATAAAAGTTCTATAAGTCTAAATTGATAGAACTATTTTGCTAGCTTGGTATCTTTAATACTAGCCAAATATCGTTGTTTAATTTATATCGAACACCCTGTACATTTTGCGAGCATCAGATGCAAAATTTAATCTATCAAATTGTTTGACACCATTTTTAGATAAAGCCTGTCCAACGAATCAATCTCAAAAATAATAGAAAATTCAGTTTAACTGTGAAATAAAATGACAGACAGCAATTGTCGCTGTCATTTATCATCTCATTGGACAGGATCTCTTACGGTTTTTTTTTATTTTAGTATTTTTATATTTCAACCTTTATTTATTCCAATACAAGGATAGAGTTATCTTTATTAATATGGAATCTTGACATACAGGGTGTTCTGTTAAAAAATACAGGTGACAGTTAGGTGACAAATTTTGATATCTTGTCACCTAACTCAACTGTTTGCATATATGTAAAGAGTTTTTTGTAATTTGTCTTCATCACAGCTGTCTCGTCATATAGTCAAATGATTCATATTTGTTGCGAAGTTTTTGGCACACCCTGTACAATGTAATATCTTCTTAGATAATCTTTTATTATTTAAAGACGTAATTCATTTGTTCCAAATAAAATTGAGTCAAAGAATCGGTGATTTTCCGATTAAAAAAAATTAACAAATTATATTTACTGTTAAACATAATGATAACGACGTTGCCACTAAGAATAATAATACTTTTAAGATATACCTATATAATAATAAAGCTTTAAATACCACGCTCAAGAAACACCGCTTCTAGCGTGTATTAGAGGATCTTAGTTTCTTTTTAGGCCTTTTTGGAAATCAATTTTTTATAGTCGTAAAATACGAGGGGTATTCCCCTTTAATTCATAATTACTCAAATGGTACGAGGGGTATTTTAAACGTAATATTTTGAATCAGTTTCTTTAAAAGGGCCTTTCATTAAGTCGTTTGATATGTCAGCGACTCGAGAATATTTAGTCTTTTAAAAGTAGTTAGAATTATTATTGAATATACACGAATATACACTGAGTTTTATTTTATTTTTTCAAATGATTGCGTTATGGCTGGACAATGTGCGCGAATGGTATGTATATTGTTCACATTGTAATTTATTTATTTTCTTGGTTTGTGTTGTTTCGAATGTTTTATTTTTTATTTACTTTTTGATTATCCAGCGGCTTCTGTTAAAATTTATCCCAAGATCGAGCCGGTCCTGGAGCGATATTGAAAATTTTATTAACGATATTTGAAATTATTTAATCTGTGCCAAAATATTTGAAATGTATTATCAAAGTGTGTTATGAAAGGACGTTTCTATAGCTGAAAGTGTATTTGTTGCTATAGTTTGTCTAAAGTATTGTTATTTTATTTATTTTTTAGTAGTTTCTATGAAAACAATTAGTATAATGTTTATTATATATATATTATATATAATATATTTTATAGTATATTGTATACGTTTTGTCATTGAAATGATGTCATTATTTGATTGTATAAAGTGTAACGTAAATACAATCGCCTGCCCCTGTATCCTTTAGAACCAGCCGCCACTGATAATTATTATTAAAATAGAAATGTTTTTGGTTAAAACTGTATTATAAGTTATCCAACATATAGATCATACCAAATAAACTTCTAGTCACGTGGTTTTACATGACCGGCACAGCGTTGCCGACTTATACATATTTTCTTTTAATCAAAATATTTTAAGAAACAAAAATGAATTAATTATAAATATAAGGGTGGTCCGAACTGTATTCCGGAAACTTCGGCAGCATATTCTGCAGATAAAAATAAGTAAAAAAGTACCTATAAATGTATGCCCTAAAATGCTTAATTTCGGAGATACAGGGTGTAGAAGTTTCATTTTTTTTTCGATTTTTTCCAAATAAATTCTGAAGTAACTTCAACATTTGGATGAAAATTGGTGTCTGGTAGTTTTTGGACATGAGAAATTTGATTTTGATGTCAATATGACTCCTATTTGTACAGGGCGCCATTTACATGTGTTTAACTGTTTTGGAGGGTAATAACTTTTCGTCCGTACCTGTATAAAACTACTGAGTGAAAAAATATTCATTTCTGTGATTTTTTACGTAAAAAATGCCTCTTGGTATAAGTCGCTACGACCAACCGTTCTCAAGATATTTAGAATGGAAATAATCAATACATGTCATTATTGACAAAAAATAGGCATGTTGAGTAGACAGATATTTGACTGAAATGATAAATTTGGGAACTTTTTATTTTTTTTAAATTAATCTTAAATTTTTCTGAGAAAAAATGATGATAAAGAACTTTTAGCACAAAAACATTTCAAATTTATGATTTCAGCCTAATAACTATTTAGTCAACATGCTTAATTTATGACAAAGATGACAGGTTTTGATAATTTCGATTCGAAATATCTCGAGAACCATTACTCGTAGCGATTTTTACTAAGAGACATTTTTTACATAAAAAACATTGTAAATACACATTTTTTTACTCAGTTGTTTTATACAGGTACGGACGAAAAGTTATTACTCTTCAAAACAGTTAAAAATATGTAGGTGGCGCCCTCTACAAGTAGGAGTGCTATTGACATGAAAATCAAATTTGTCGTGTCAAAAAACTCCCAGACACCAATTTTCATCCAAATATTTACATTACTTCAGAAATTATTTGGAAAAAATCGAAATGATGAATGAGTTTTTTGCGACGGCTGTTAAGCTGGTTCGGCATCTTGTACAATTCGCACTAAAAGCGGTTCTAAAGTGAACACTTTTCGGCTGCAAGGTCTGCTAGTAAAAAAATTTTAACTTAAGTATCGCCAACACAATTCACTTAAACCAAAAACTCGTAATCGAAGGGTGTCTCACTGTTAGAATTACATGTACATTTTTTTGGCAGTTCCTGGCAGTCGCTGGCATCAGTCTTAGGGCAGTTGACTATACTTTAGATCGATATAGGCTCTAGATCGAGCCATACTTATACTATAGCAGATCGGCTGTCCCAAGGAGAAACACAGTATATTTATGCATTTTTTGTAAATATCATTTTTATATACTTCATTTGTATATACTTGGTGATTATCTATCTATTACAATCGTAAACATTTAGATTTACAGCAAAATAACGAAGATACAGACTAAAAAAAAACAGTATCTTATGTGATCGGTATAACAAAGCAACTTTAATTTCTCATAAAAACATTTTTATCATATACTGCGTTTTTTCTTGGGATAGCCGAGATATGGGCAGTCTTCTTCGCAGTCATTGGTAGTCGTTTGGCAGTAAAATTATATTTTGGCAGTACATTTAAATTCTTTACCCAAGTGAGGTACCCCTCGCACGTAATAAAAAACTAAAATGTCAAAACGAATGACCGGAAATTAATAAATAAATGTGGCAACTTGACATTTTTTACAGCAGTGCTACCACCTGAAGCGGGAAATTTAAATTCCAGTTAGTCAGACTGGCGCCGAATATGTTCATGGTTGGCAACAATAAATTTTATAATCGCGCCCTTGATGATGTAACTAAAAGTTTATTTGGTATCACTTATATTATTATGTGCGAAGTAGTTGATTTACCGATGATTGTTGTGCCGTAAATTAAAAAAATGTCACATTGGCATTTAGAATTACTTGATTGGCAAAGATCACTGTGACGTCGTTCTTTTCACTCGTATGATACTTGCAGCTTAGTTATTAGAGTAATTTGATTTATAAAAGTACAGTTTTTTAAGTCTTTTAAATTATTCTAGACAAACTATAGCAGATACCTTAAAGCTACTGTATGATTAAAATTAAGTAATTTTAAGTGTTACGATATTGTATTTTGAATCTGGCATTGCTTATTTTTATTTATTTTAATTATACGGTCCAGAAAATGTCCTTTTATATGCTTGATACTCAGTAATGAACAAAAGTACATAGACAGTAATATTTTGTATTATTTCTGATGAAATAATACTAATCTTATTATATTTTATAGTAAATATTTTTTATATATCAAACACAAACGGCAAAAAGTTAATTTTGATCAATTTTGCTCAACAAATTCTATGCACTTCGTGAATATTGTACCTGAATCAAAGAAATGTTTTAATTATATTGAAGTCTTATATACTTATGTACAATACTGAATGTAGCTTTTATGTTGATATAATTATTCATACATATTAGAATTATTGTGCCAATTGTAATGTAATAATCCAAAAAAATAAAACATATATTTTATCTTGTAGCGGATGTATATTTTAGTGCCTTT